TATCATCGATATTATTAACCAAATGTCTTATTTTAATCTCTGGAATACAATAAATGAACTTGATGACAACTTGATCACTGATTGTTGCTCCGGATATGGGATTTGGAATGGACTGTTGTGATGATGGGTGGCAGTGTGGGAGGTACCGTGTTGACAGGTGATGGTTGTGGGTACACGGTTGTGGGCGCCACAATAACATGTGGGAGGTCGGGGCAGGTTCCCTGTGTCACGCGGGCGGGGGACCACACTAACATGGGGTTTGCTGGTGACCGCCGCCCGCACTCTAAGGTGTGTGTTTTGCTGTTTCAGGTGGGCGGCGGTCACTGCTACACACGGCGTGCGTCTGTCCGTACTGCAACAAGGTGATCAGTAACAAGTATAACCTCAAGACGCACATTCTGGACAAGCATACAGTCCAGACTGAACGATTTCCCTGTGAGTTGTGTGGGCGCATCTACTCCACCAAGCACTCCCTGGCCACCCATACCTCCACCGTGCACCGCGGTGATCGTGCCGCCCACCACCACCACGCCCGCACCGTCCCCGCCACCCATCCATCACCCGTCGCCCTTCTCCCAGTCCCTGCTGATAACAGACAGCAACAGCCGATGGGCGTGCCTCAGCCTCTAACAGTAGACCCACAGATGTCTGGCGGTGGAGGGCCAGTGCCAGTGCCAACCATGACTTCAACAGGGAGTCAAGGGCCGTCCCTAGCAGAGGTGGCGGCACAGCTGCCTCCAGCACCCTTGGAGGGAGGACCCACTCACGAACAGATCCAAGCTATGGCTCAAAGTCTGGCCCAATCCCTGCCATCCTTCCAGTCCTTCCCTGGGCTGGAGTAACACACTCACCCCGGTGCCACTCATGAGGACATGTGATATATCAGTATTGACATGTGATAGTGTTGTTGGAGCTGAGTAACCCCGGAGTGTTGAGAGGCCAAGTCTTGTGCCTCACGTGAGCGCCTCCACACCAAACAGCCTTACACTTGACACTCCTTCCCTCGCGTGCCGCCTCCCCTAAACACAAACACTTTACATTAATTTCCTAGTATCAAGGTGTCATTCGTAAACTTCCATTGTCAGTCTGCATAATTCCTCATGACCACTTGGTCCAGTAAGTAATGTGATTACCAAGTATGAGTATTTTTGGTATCGTGTGTCAACAGCCAACACAAACGCTTATCTGACTGACAGCCAGCCAGTGTCACGTGTAAGTTCAGCCTCCCACTCCCTGTTCTCAGTGTTATTTCCACTCTTTAGTCATTATAACTCTTTTTATTTCCACTATGGTCATTATTACTCGTTCTATCTCCACTCTCCAGTCATTATTATAAGTAATAAAAATATCAACTCCCTCTAGTAAATAAACGCCGCCAGTGGAAATTGTTATTTTGTGTTAGACATAATGTTCTCCGTCTTGTTGCCACTTGTCGAACTGAGGTTGTGTTGAAGGTGGATGACGAAGATAACATAATGCTGCAACTGTTGTCCATAACACTCAAGAAACTTATCATGTGAGGTGTGGAAGATCTCTTACCTCCTGTGTGAGGTGTGGAAGATCTCTTACCTCCTGTGTGAGGTGAGGAAGACCTCTTACCTCCTGTGTGGGGTGAGGAAGACCTCTTACCTCCTGTGTGAGGTGTGGAAGACCTCTTACCCCCCTGTGTGAGGTGTGGAAGACCTCTTACCCCCCTGTGTGAGGTGTGGAAGACCTCTTACCCCCCTGTGTGAGGTGTGGAAGACCTCTTACCTCCTGTGTGAGGTGAGGAAGACCTCTTACCTCCTGTGTGAGGTGTGGAAGACCTCTTACCCCCTGTGTGAGGTGTGGAAGACCTCCTACCTCCTGTGTGAGGTGTGGAAGACCTCTTACACTCCTGTGTGAGGTGTGGAAGACCTCTTACCTCCTGTGTGGTGTGGAAGACCTCTTACCTCCTGTGTGAGGTGTGGAAGACCTCTTACCCCCTGTGTGAGGTGTGGAAGACCTCTTACCCCTGTGTGAGGTGTGGAAGACCTCTTACCTCCTGTGTGGTGAGAGACCTCTTACCTCCTGTGTGAGTGTGGAAGACCCTCTTACCTCCTGTGTGGTGTGGAAGATCTCTTACCCCCTGTGTGGTGAGGAGACCTCTTACCTCCTGTGTGAGGTGTGGAAGATCTCTTACCTCCTGTGTGAGGTGTGAAGACCTCTTACCTCCTGTGTGAGGTGTGGAAGACCTCTTACCTCCTGTGTGGTGTGGAGACCTCTTACCTCCTGTGTGGGAGACCCTGCTGTGTGGTGTGGAAGACCTCTTACCTCCTGTGGTAGGGGAGAGACCTCTTACCTCCTGTGTGAGGTGTGGAAGACCTCTTACCTCCCGTGTGAGGTGTGAAGACCCTTACCTCCTGTGTGAGGTGTGGAAGATCTCTTACTTCCTGTGTGAGGTGTGGAAGACCTCTTACTTCCTGTGTGAGGTGTGGAAGACCTCTTACTTCCTGTGTGAGGTGTGGAAGACCTCTTACCTCCTGTGGTAGGGGAGAGAGACCTCTTACCTCCTGTGTGAGGTGTGGAAGACCTCTTACCTCCTGTGTGAGGTGTGGAAGACCTCTTACCTCCTGTGTGAGGTGAGGAAGACCTCTTACCTCCTGTGTGAGGTGAGGAAGACCTCTTACCTCCTGTGTGAGGTGTGGAAGACCTCTTACCTCCTGTGTGAGGTGAGGAAGACCTCTTACCTCCTGTGTGGGGTGAGGAAGACCTCTTACCTCCTGTGTGAGGGGAGAGAGACCTCTTACCTCCTGTGTGGGGTGAGGAAGACCTCTTACCTCCTGTGTGGGGTGAGGAAGACCTCTTACCTCCTGTGTGAAGTACAGTTTAGGATGAGTGTCACACTTAAGACATGTGAATTACTGAACGTCTCGGCGTTAATTAACTGGGTTGGTGCACTTGGCAAGGAGTAATTGTTGTTACTTGTAGGGAGTGACGTAACTTGATACTTCTTACACTTAATTAGAATTGCTGGTGATCAATTAACTTTTATCTGAAAATTGGATAAATATATCCTTGTGAATATAGTTAAGGTATAATCAGTGAACTTAAGGTTGTCACAGTGTAGTGTGGAAACTACGTGGGGAAGGCCTGAGGGCAGTGTGGTATAACTGGCCAGGTTCACCTTGAGGTGAACATAGACATCTTGTAAACCATATTGAAAAAGTAATTGTTGGTGACAATTATGTCGATGGCATACATGTAGATTAATGTTATCTCTCAGTATATAAAAAAGTGCACAGTTGTTAACGCATGTTAGCTCATACAGTATATTGATCGCACTTACTTTTGCAGTCAAGGAGACTCATAAGGAAGAGTCGCGCGAGAACCGTGGCCAGACCAAACTGCATTATGATTTCTTGGATATTTATGAATACGTGACGAAAAAGAAATACCCCGCTACTCTTCAAAGCAAGGGAGAGAAAGCAAGTTTTAGGACAGCTACCTCAGCATTCTCTGTACATGACGGGTGGCTGTACTACAACCGCAGGTGTCTGGACGGAGTAGTCAAGCAGGTTCGTCAGTGTGTTAGTCCTGTACTCACTGTTTGACAAAAGAAATATTTGAGAAAATATTATTGATTGTTCAGTATATATGACCATTAAGAAGTGATATACACAGACACGCACGGTCCCCGCCTTCCAGTGGTGTATATAACTGGATACATTTTTGTTCCAGCTCCCGGTGGTCTGGAACACAGAGGAAGTTAAGTCCGTCATAAAAGAGGTACATGAAGGTGGTGGTGACTCACTAGAATCCAAGAGTGTGTTGAGTCACCATGGATTAGCTTCCACTATTTCTCTCATCACAAACAAGTTCTACTGGCATACTATAGAACGAGACGTGAGACTTTACGTACAGTCTTGTCGTCAGTGCCGGCAGGGTCTGACCTCTACATGATTTGTGGCGTATGTATAGTGCTATAGGTCCCCGCCTGTTGGCCTGTATATGTCACAGTCAAAGTGTGTAATTAGTCATTTCGTGAAGTGACTAGTCATCTTGTTTAATGTAAACTAACTTTATCTAGTTTTAACCTATCCAAACCTATTTTATTCTATCCTTACATAACCTAACCTAACATTAGATTGGTTTGGTTAGGCAAAACCATTTTTCGGTAGGTTAAGTTAGGTATCCCAATGAAACCTACCTGGCCTAGCCTGACCACGATTAACTTAACTAATGTAATGTTCAGTTAATTTATGGTCGGCTAGGCTTGATAAAGATAGCATACAATTGGTTTTGTTAGGTTAAATTAGATTAAAATTGTTTACATTACACAAGTTGACTAGTCATAACACGAAATGGCTGATTACACACTTTGACTGTAACAAATATAACACCTGTACCTTGTGGCCTACGAGAGAATTGCAACATGTTAAATACAAGAAAAACTTGTTGATGGTACAACACTCGCGGCGTTTATTACACCGTGGTTGTGTCTACAGTGTTCTGTGTCTTGAAATTACTTTTTAAACTTGATAAACTTTTCTTAAAGAAGAAGGCAGTGTTTATCCTGTTTTTGTCGAGTTAATTATGAACGAGTGGAAATTACAGGTCTAATAATGACAGGGGAGTGAGTGTAAATACAGGGGGTATATACCTGAGGCGACTGGTCAACTTACAGCTGAAGCTTACTCACACCTCTGGGGATTAGTTCCTTGTAGAAAATTGTATATTTCATACATGGTTACTTGGTTGACATTTACACTTATGCCTTCATTATGGTGGACGACCTGGGTTGTCAAGGGCACCATGACCTCACCTAAATCTTTCGGTGATTTGTGGAGACATGAAGTGAGGAGCGTTGGTAGGAAGACCTGGAGGTGCGGCCACCATCACCCGTCTTACCCCATCTATATACCTGTATATAGATGGTGTGAACTTTACTCTCTCTCTCTCATATATATATATATATATATATATATATATATATATATATATATATATATATATATATATATATATATATATATATATCCCCAATACATGTTGCCATAATTATTTTTATAATGTAGTGGTAATGACGCAGGTGTGACCCTCTAATGAGCTTGATGATGTGCGTCGGTGCCTCCCTCGGGTGCCGCCACCACCACGCCCCTCACTCGTGTCCTCCTCTACTCTACCGCCTGACTCTTGTTTCTCTTGTACATAAATCCAGTCGCTTCCTCCTTATCGCCCGCTTGATGCCGCTCTCATGTTTAATAATAGATCTTAATAAAAACTATTTTAGATAAACTCTTTGTATATTTTTCCTGTACTGTCAAGTGTTAATGTGGTTGTGTGGTGGTGATTGTGGTGGAAGTGGTTGTGTGGTGATATTATTGGTTGTGTGATGACGGTGGTTGAGGTGGTGGTAGTGGCTATGTGATTGAGGTCGTGGTTGTGCTGGTGATTGTGTGGAGGTAGTAGTGATTACGTGGCGGTAGTGGTTTTGTGAATGTGATCTTCATTGAATGATGATGGTAGTTTGTGTGGTTGTATGATGGTGGTAGTAGTGGTTGTATGATGGTGGTAGTAGTGGTTGTATGATGGTGATAGTAGTGGTTGTATGATGGTGGTAGTAGTGGTTGTATGATGGTGGTAGTTGTGGTTGTATGATGGTGATAGTTGTGGTTGTATGGTGGTAGTAGTGGTTGTATGATGGTGGTAGTAGTGGTTGTATGATGGTGGTAGTAGTGGTTGTATGATGGTGATAGTTGTGTTTGTATGGTGGTAGTAGTGGTTGCATGATGGTGATAGTGGTTGTATGATGGTAGTAGTTGTGGTTGCATCATGATAGTTGTGTACTTAGTAGTGGTTGTATGATGGTGGTAGTTGTGGTTCTATGGTGGGGTGTGGTAGTAATAATTTTGAATGCTAATGATTGGAGAGGGAGAAGCGGCAGGTATAGTTGTATCTTAAGCCAAGTAAGAATATCTTGACACATAAACAAGACTGAAAGGAACTCGAGTTTACGTCCGTCATCAGGGAATGGAAAGTCCTTCACCACCATGAAACTAAACAACGAGTAGAGGAGAAGGAAGATGTAAGAAGCATAGATGAATAATACCTGATAAATGAAGAAAAATGGTCAGGCTGTATTAATTGTGTAATGAGGTAATGACGGCCCTGGTTATGGTGGACAGGTCGAAGAATCACACTGGTGCCACTTCTACTCATCTGTCTGCAATGAGTTAGGCCGTACTTTTAGGGTGCAAGGCTTGTGATAGGTTGGGTAGAGCAGCAGAGGGACGTCATGATTGGTTTAGAGTCCATTAGTCCATCAGTGGTTAGTCAGGGAAGGTCTTTCACTTCACCCACACACACCATACACTAGATTTGGATTGAAACTAGTTAAACCATAATTAGCTACGGTACCTTTTAATATACGATGATAAAACAGCAGTAAAGGGATGTTTTGTTGTCCGTAAGATATTATTGTACCTTGTTTCGTATTTATAGGCAGCTCTTGGCGCACCTACTAACATTGTTCCTTTAATGTGGTGGGAGATGTTTAATGTATGGTAGTGTTGAGGGGCAGCTTGTGGGGAGAAGACATCACTGCTGGTTGTCTGGTGTATCACTGTGATGATTGACTGTTGAGGTGTATCAACCTTTAGCAGCCGACCCACAGGTGTGTGGCGGCGGCGGCAGCGATGGAGGGCCAGGGCCAGTCCCATGCAGGCATAACTTCAACAGGAAGCCAAGGGCCGTCCCTAGCAGAGGTGGCGGCACAGCTGCCTCCAGCACCCTTGGAGGGAGGACCCACTCACGAACAGATCCAAGCTATGGCTCAAAGTCTGGCCCAATCCCTGCCATCCTTCCAGTCCTTCCCTGGGCTGGAGTAACACACTCACCCCGGTGCCACTCATGAGGACATGTGATATATCAGTATTGACATGTGATAGTGTTGTTGGAGCTGAGTAACCCCGGAGTGTTGAGAGGCCAAGTCTTGTGCCTCACGTGAGCGCCTCCACACCAAACAGCCTTACACTTGACACTCCTTCCCTCGCGTGCCGCCTCCCCTAAACACAAACACTTTACATTAATTTCCTAGTATCAAGGTGTCATTCGTAAACTTCCATTGTCAGTCTGCATAATTCCTCATGACCACTTGGTCCAGTAAGTAATGTGATTACCAAGTATGAGTATTTTTGGTATCGTGTGTCAACAGCCAACACAAACGCTTATCTGACTGACAGCCAGCCAGTGTCACGTGTAAGTTCAGCCTCCCACTCCCTGTTCTCAGTGTTATTTCCACTCTTTAGTCATTATAACTCTTTTTATTTCCACTATGGTCATTATTACTCGTTCTATCTCCACTCTCCAGTCATTATTATAAGTAATAAAAATATCAACTCCCTCTAGTAAATAAACGCCGCCAGTGGAAATTGTTATTTTGTGTTAGACATAATGTTCTCCGTCTTGTTGCCACTTGTCGAACTGAGGTTGTGTTGAAGGTGGATGACGAAGATAACATAATGCTGCAACTGTTGTCCATAACTCTCAGTTATAATCAGTGAACTTAAGGTTGTCCCAGTGTAGCGCGGAAACATGATAAATGTTAGAGCGGATCACTACGCGGGGAAGGCCTTAGGGCAGTGTGGTATAACTGGCCAGGTTCACCTTGAGGTGAACATAGACATCTTGTAAACCATATTGAAAAAGTAATTGTTGGTGACAATTATGTCGATGGCATACATGTAGATTAATGTTATCTCTCAGTATATAAAAAAGTGCACAGTTGTTAACGCATGTTAGCTCATACAGTATATTGATCGCACTTACTTTTGCAGTCAAGGAGACTCATAAGGAAGAGTCGCGCGAGAACCGTGGCCAGACCAAACTGCATTATGATTTCTTGGATATTTATGAATACGTGACGAAAAAGAAATACCCCGCTACTCTTCAAAGCAAGGGAGAGAAAGCAAGTTTTAGGACAGCTACCTCAGCATTCTCTGTACATGACGGGTGGCTGTACTACAACCGCAGGTGTCTGGACGGAGTAGTCAAGCAGGTTCGTCAGTGTGTTAGTCCTGTACTCACTGTTTGACAAAAGAAATATTTGAGAAAATATTATTGATTGTTCAGTATATATGACCATTAAGAAGTGATATACACAGACACGCACGGTCCCCGCCTTCCAGTGGTGTATATAACTGGATACATTTTTGTTCCAGCTCCCGGTGGTCTGGAACACAGAGGAAGTTAAGTCCGTCATAAAAGAGGTACATGAAGGTGGTGGTGACTCACTAGAATCCAAGAGTGTGTTGAGTCACCATGGATTAGCTTCCACTATTTCTCTCATCACAAACAAGTTCTACTGGCATACTATAGAACGAGACGTGAGACTTTACGTACAGTCTTGTCCTCAGTGCCGGCAGGGTCTGACCTCTACATGATTTGTGGCGTATGTATAGTGCTATAGGTCCCCGCCTGTTGGCCTGTATATAACACCTGTACCTGGTGGCCTACGAGAGAACTACAACATGTTGTTAAGTACAAAAAAAAACCCGCAGCGTTAGGTCCTCCTCCTGGTCTACCGCTGCCTGGGTAATAGTGTTCCCGGGTATTTCTCTTGTATAGGTTATTACGCTCCACATGAAGTGTCTTAGGTTCTGCTGTATCGTAATACATTTGTTAGTCTTGTGACCATTTGAAAAGTTCATGGAGAACTTTTTGCATTTCTGCCATGTCTTCTATTATTTACCGCAAATCTTTGTATCTTTCGTAAACTTGATGTGTTGATTCGATATATTTTCACCTTTATCGTTGACGCAGATGAGAAACAGAATGGCACCCTTGTGATACTCCGCTGAGAACCTCTTACCAGTCTGGTACTATATTTATAACCACTTTTTGATACTTGTCCTTGAGCCAGCGTTTAAATCACCTCAATTTATGCCTGTGATATTCAATATATATATATATATATATATATATATATATATATATATATATATATATATATATATATATATATATATATATAATAATAATAATAATAAGCGGTTTATTAATAGAGTTGCAGCCGGTGGCTGAAAATATACAGACTTACATTTGATTTAGACATAATGATATAATATGCATTGAATACATTTACAGGGCTGTACAGTACATAAATCAGGAGTTGTTTATTATTTTAACAATAGATGGGATGGTGCTGTTGTTATATCTATCGGTGCGGGCTCTTATGGGCTGAATTTTGTTGTAGTGGCGGACTGCGCCAGTTGGGTGGGGGGCTGAAGGTGGCTGAAGGTGGCGATGACGAGGGTGGTGCAGTAGTCCACTGCCAAACCTTTCCAGTGCTTGGTGGTGGAGGTCACTGAGGGATGGCATTTCCAGGGTGGAGAGAGCGTTGGTGTAGCCGGAGTATTCTGTGCCGAGCATGATTCTGCAGGCCCTTTTCTGTACCTTCTCTAGCTGACGTCGTTGGGTGGAGTTGTGTGTGTGTGACAATTTAAATGATACTGTGTGTTATTATCAAGGGTTTAATTCATACATTTACCATATAGAGAAGCGTGAGTGACCTGAACTATTTTCCCCGTCACCATAAGTTACGGGTACAATACTGTATCGTGTACTGTACTGCAGTACTGTACTCGCTGTGTAGCGGGCGGGTGGGCCAGGGTTTATTGCTCTCTGAAACTTGATTTTTGATGATGGAGTGTGACAGTATTATGTGTGTGGACATGTCCTGCGACGTGGAAGCTTTCTCTTCATTTTTTTCTGATTTGTGAAGATCAAAGATCAAGGTGCCGCCGAAGCGCGTGTTCCTCGGATATGAAGTTGAAACTGGACGCAATAGTGTCCAGGTGGTTTAATTATCTAACCCATTTTGTTCATAGAATGGTTTGGAGCTGTACATGTAACGTACCGACACACTCACTACTGTGCCGCTTTGTGTGTGATGAGGGGGGGGGGGGACTCTTATTATATTAACTGGCGTAGGACCAGCCTGGCCTGGCCTGGCCTGGCCTGGCCTGTGTGTCTTTGTATAATGTGACCTTGACGTTGACTTGGGAGTGAGTGCTTCAAGACTCATAATTTTTGCGTGAAGCCAACGTCCGTTATGGCGGCTACGGTAGCCGCAGTTTCGTTTTAGCGCTGTAACAATATATTTGAACGAATAATTGATATTGAATTGTTTATTACATCATGACATCAATTCATACTTGATAAAGTACTGTGCCCCTTGAGTGGTTAATATTCTAAACGTTATAGACATTTTATTAAGCATTGGATTTTGATAAAACTTTGTACTGTATCTCCTGTACACCTTCTCAGGTGTCTTGAACAGTCTATTAATAGTGGGCGAGATTAAATAATCCTGGCTCTTAACTGGTAAAATTCCTGAACACTGGGAGCGTCAGTAAGGAGCAGCTCCTCACACACACGACACATGTATTCTTTTCTTGAGCCTTCACTTGAGTCTCTGCTTTCTCACCATTGTTTACCTTGACAGGTCTGGCACCCTCCGGTAGTCGTGCTGGACAAGTGAAGTTCGCTGTAATTTTTTAATTATTTTTTCTTCGTTGCCACCAACACCTTGACCATCAAATTAAAAATTTAATGCTTATGGCCGATCTATAATGTACATGATAAGTTGAGTATTTCTGGTCCAGTTTTGATCAGGGTTTACGTAATGACTTATATAGTATAGAGTGGTAGTGATGATGAGGCCGCTGCCATTCATGGTACTGTATATGTAGTGTGTAGTGAGGCTGTGTTGTGCTTGGTCGACAACTTATAAACTTCACAAAATGGTGAAAGACTATAATGACGTTCAGTGTGGTGTTGCGTGATACAGCCGCCGTGATGAGTGAGAGTTAGTCCCATAGACCTGACGTCCCGTAAGGGGAAGTGCCAACACAGCACACTGAAGACCAAACCTTGTACATAAGGAGGCAGTGGGGCACCACTGCACACAACCGCTTTCACTTCCCTAACTAAAATCGGGTCAATTGGGGGTGCCTTGGACGCAGGAGGTAAGCACTTGGCCGCAATATCTGTCTGTTATGAAGATGCTTCATTTAGGCAGACCAACTGTCTCATATCGGATATTTCATATTGGTGTTGCAGTCACACCCGGGCTGAGTAATACTGGCCACTTGGGACCTATTGCTGTGGGTGTGACACCTTGTTGACCGTGAACGTGTGTGGCAACCCTTTACACGCCCTCACTAAAGGCATACAGTAGCCTAACACCCGGGCGCCGGGAACTCATGGGCTAACATTTTCTCACAGACGCGTGGAGAGTTACAGAAGTGAGGCATCAGTGTCTTTTGTCTTTGTTTTTATATAAAGTTCGTATTTTATCATTTAGTTTGGCATTAAAAACTGTTCTGTAGAAAATCAGGTTTCCTTTAATTCAAAGAAGACCAATAAAATAATTTTTGGTAATAAAAACAAATATTTCATTAGTGTTGCCCCTCCAAGGTGATGTAATGTTAGCACAGAGTGACACTGGGTGGTGGGGGGACAACACTATCCGCCGCCACCATTAATGTCATGTGTTGACCTCAGACAGCTTGTCCAACTAAAGGGAACAGTAAACGTGGTCATTGGTCATGATTACCCCACATGACCTTGCACAATCCATGACCCATATTGACCCCCACAGTCATTGTCATCAAGTAACCACTTCAGTGTAACACTGACCGTAATGGATCTGTAAATAGCACTTGTGACTATAGTGTGTTAAAACATGAGTCACATAGCCAGAGGGAGCCCGTGCTCTTTATTAGGTTTATTCAATATTTAGCTGGACGCTCGGACTCCTGACTTCAGAACAACGTCTCTTAGCAAAATTCCGTCACGTGCCGCCGGGTAAACAAGGTTTAACTCTTGTCTCTCGACTCAAAATCGTGCGTCAGGACCACTGCTGGTGTGGTGCGTCGGTGCCTCCCTCAGGTGCCGCCACCACCACGCCCCTCACTCGTGTCCTCCTCTACTCTACCGCCTGACTCTTGTTTCTCTTGTACATAAATCCAGTCGCTTCCTCCTTATCGCCCGCTTGATGCCGCTCTCATGTTTAATAATAGATCTTAATAAAAACTATTTTAGATAAACTCTTTGTATATTTTCCTGTACTGTCAGGTGTTAATGTGGTTGTGTGGTGGTGATTGTGAGTTATTGGTTATGTTGTGATTGTGGTATTTGTTTGGTAGTGACAGTATGGTGTTAACGTGGTTGTATGATAGTGGTAGTGTGGTGGTGATGGTAGCGGTTGTGTGATGGGGTTGTGGGTTGGTAGTACTGGTTGCGGTGGTCGTATTGGTTATGATGATGCAAGAGAATGTGGTAGTGGTGGTTGTGAGTGTGATGGTGGTAGTGGTAGTTGTGATGATGGTAGTGGTTGTGGCGATGGTAGCGATTGTGATGTTGATAGTGGTTGTGTGATGGTGGTAATGGTTGTTTAATGGTGGTAGTCGTTGTGATTGTGATGGTGGTAAGGGGCAGGTTGTGGAAGGGGGAGGAAAGGGGCAGGTCAATGTTGTTGTTGTGAGTGAGTGTTAAGGAAGGGTTGTTGTTGGGGTGGGGAGGGAGGGAAGGTCACTGTTGTTGTTGTGAGTGTGTGTTAGGAAGGTTGTTGAGGGGGAGGGGCAGGTCGCTGTTGGTGTTGTTGTGAGGAGTGTTAAGGAAGGTTGTTGAGGGGAGGGCAGGTCGCTGTTGGTGTTGTTGTGAGTGAGTGTTAGGAAGGTTGTGGAGGGAGGGGGCAGGTCACTGTTGTTGTTGTGAGTGTGTGTTAGGAAGGTTGTTGAGGGGGAGGGGGCAGGTCACTGTTGGTGTTGTTGTGAGGAGTGTTAGGAAGGTTGTGGAGGGAGGGAGGGCAGGTCACTGTTGTTGTTGTGAGTGTGTGTTAGGAAGGTTGTTGAGGTGGGAGGGAGGGGGCAGGTCGCTGTTGGTGTTGTTGTGAGTGAGTGTTAAGGAAGGTTGTTGAGGGGGAGGGGCAGGTCACTGTTGTTGTTGTGAGTGAGTGAAGGTTGTGGAGGAGGGGGCAGGTCGCTGTTGTTGTTGTGAGTGAGTGTTAAGGAAGGTTGTTGAGGGGAGGGAGGGGCAGGTCACTGTTGTTGTGAGTGAGTGTTAAGGAAGGTTGTGGAGGAGGGGGAGCAGGTCGCTGTTGTTGTGGTGAGTGAGGAAGGTTGTTGAGGGGAGGGTTGGTAAATGTTGTTGTGAGTGAAAGGTTGTTGAGGGGGGGGGTTGTTGAGTGAGTGTTGAAGGTTGTTGAGGGGAGGGGCAGGGTTGTTGTGAGTGAGTGTTAAGGAAGGTTGTGGGGGGGGGAGGGGCAGGTCACTGTTGTTGTGAGTGAGTGTTGGTTGTGCAGTAGTGTTAAGGAAGGTTGTTGAGGGGGGAGGGGTTGGTAAATGTTGTTGTGAGTTAGTGTTAAGGAAGGTTGTTGAGGGGGAGGGGGCAGGTCACTGTTGTGGTTGTGAGTTAGTGTTAAGGAAGGTTGTTGAGGGGGGAGGGGTTGGTAAATGTTGTTGTGAGTTAGTGTTAAGGAAGGTTGTTGAGGGGGAGGGGGCAGGTCACTGTTGTGGTTGTGAGTTAGTGTTAAGGAAGGTTGTTGAGGGGGGAGGGGTTGGTAAATGTTGTGAGGGGTTGCATCACCACACCACATGACGTGCCTGGTGACCCTCATAGCCCCGCCGTGTGTCTCACTTGTCTACTATCCAGTAAATGTTGAGTTTGTGGTGTTGATAGAAGAACAGACATTTTAGTATGATGTAGAGTAGGTTGACCAGGGTAGAGGTCACTGACTGACTAGGGCATGTTTATAATTCGTTGCAGGGGTGTTAGCGGGCGGTGGCGGCTGTGGGTCTGGAGCATGGGAGGGCCCCGCCGCGTGCCCGGTGTGCCTCAAGGTGCTGTCCAACAAGTACAACCTGAGGACGCACATGGAGGACAAGCATTCCCCCCTGCAGCACGTGTTCCCCTGCCCCATATGCTGCCACGTGTACAAGACCCGAAACTCCCTCCACAACCACTACTCCATGCGTCACCGCGGACTTAAGATGCCCAAGATGTGAACCTCTCTCACTCCTGCTCTACCCTATTGGCCCTTCCCTCTCAACACCAACTGAAACCGTTTTATACCTGAGAAGAAAAGTCCTAGAGATACAAACAGTTAATTTCATTGTGAAGAAGAGTGTGATGGGAGGTGTATGTGGTGGTCGAGACGTTCATCAAGTGATCCTCGTGTTCGTGTTAATAAACTAACAGTCATCCCTTCTTTTGGATACTTGATATTTTATAACATACAAGTAGTGCAATACTCATCGGTGGCAAGTCTTAATAATGGGATGTGTATTACAATGGGGAGGAGGGAGGGAAGCGGAGACGGAGGGGGGCGAGGTTTGGTATGTAGGGCAGGTGGGAGTGGCGGGCGGGGGCAGCGGAGGCAACCTTGTCAGTATCCCGGATATTGTCGCTCGCTCCCGCACCGCCCCCGCCCCCTCCCTCACTCCTTACACCAACTCCCCCTCCTTCCCTCCCTCCCCTCTCGCTCTCCCTCCTTCTCTCAAACAATTGGCACTGACTTTTTCTGGATATATTCATCTTGAAAAGGAGTACATTAATCTGGATTTAAAAACTAATTAGATATTCTTTATTTCTTATTATTGACCTGTGAGGAGTGCATTGTAGAGGCGGCAACAAGAGCAGTGGAAGCAGACTGTATACGTAGGTGTGAGTAGGGACAGACATGTGGTGTGTGTTGGGTGTGGGCATGAGGTGGGTTTGTCCGGTAACAGAGTGTAACGGGCGCACTGTTGTTGTCATTGCAGGCGTGGGCGGGTTTCTAGGAGACAACAAGCCCAAGTGGCAGTGCCCAGTGTGCTACAAGTTACTAAGCACTCGCTCCAACTTAAAGATCCACGTGCAGGACAAACACTCGTCGCTGCAGCACGCCTTCCCCTGCCCTGTGTGTGGCCACGTCTACAAGACACGCAACTCCCTCCACAACCACATGAGCATCCGCCACCGAGGCGTTAGGATGCCACCGCCACCGCCGCCTGCTCCACCACACCCGCTCCCGTAAAGCAGGAGAAGGACCCCTGCCACGTCCTGGTCACCAAGGGCGCCGCGCTGCCTCGTGTAACGGCGCCTCTCTCCCCGTCATGGCCGCTGCCTTTATGAGCGGCATCCCACGGGACACACCACTCCACCCCCACAGCCCACCCACCCGCCCGTCCGCCCGCCCTGCCACACACCTGCCCTGCCGCCCCACGACCCACCTGCCCTGCCGCCCGCCGCTCTGCCAACCACCGCCCTGCCATCCAACACCTTGCAAACTTGACAGCGTCTCAAAATAACCTTGACTGGCTGTGATCAGAGTAGTGAAAAAGAACTAGGCTTTGGCCATCCATGAGCTGTAGTATTAAAAGTATCACTTTTGCCATAATGTACACGACAGAGCTACACCTTGGAGGATGTAGGCACACGTCAAGTAGCACCTTGTAGCTTTTAATTTCACACTGCCATATATGGTACAGTAATGAACAAGATGATGTAGTCCCTCGCGTACACAGCCTCCATTCATGAACAATTAGTGAAGGACAGAACCAGCACACGCACATGACTCAGCTTGGCGTGTGTACATGGTTTAGGGTGGACACGAGGACTGTGTGTTCATTAAATGTATCAAAATTGTGTAGGAAATTACTCATAAACCTGTTCAAAGTTGGTAGTATAATGTACTTGTAATATCGGTCCTTATGGCGAGACAGTAGGCGAAGATATTGGTTGTAACGCTGCCACAACTTTTCATAGATAAGAAAATGATAAACTATAAACATTATTGGTCAAAATATTTGACATAAAATGAGTGGGCGAGGTAAACCGTGTGTTGAAGTGCCTGGGTCGTGCCTTCAGTAGTGTCGGAGGCGCCTGCAACACCCGGACACACAGGCCCATACCCTCACTCTACTCCCATCTCACTTAACTAAATGTATTTCTGTTTTCAACAAAACACAGTGAGTTTAGGATGCCAGAAGGTAATGGGTGTTAGTGAGGAGTAGTTGTGAGGTAGTGTGGCTGACAGGAGTGAGTGTGGAGTCATTATCAGCCGTCTCATTTTAAAGTGGCTGCCAGTTAAATTGCGTCTTCTTTTCTGGCTAGGAAATTTATTTGTCCATTCCCTTGAACGTGTTTTAAGTACATTTTTTCTGTCACTGAAAAGTGTACACACAATTAATGTCCTGGTAAATGGATGACCATATCTTGGTCTCGTAAAAATTTTATTATTAGGTCAGTGTCCCGGGGTGGCAGCCCTGCCAGGGGGAGACAACCCCACCCCTGCCTTCTAGTGTTCCTTTTTAAGGTCATTTTAAAACTGAATGAGAAGGCTGGATTAGGATAAGGCCGGTGAGGACGCTACTGGCCAACCACCCCTACACTGACACTCTGCATGTAAACACTGTTGTGAAACATGGTGCCATTGGCCAGTGATCAACACTATGACAGTGTGAGGGTGTGCCGCCCTCCAGTGCCCGCCTGGTAGCAGGTTACTACACTAAGAACACAACATCCCTCACCACATTGTCACACACCATTCATATGATTGTAGTCATACCATGTTCCCGTGTGCGCAGTCTCTCATACCCACCATTTTTATATAGATATGATTAAGAACTTAGATTTGTATCATGAAATAGTGAGATTGTGATAATGGAACGTTATTTCTACGGCACACCATTAAAATTGAGACACACCGCTTTTGTGCTGGCAGGGTTCTTGATGAAGTTTGTATTATATTGGTTGTTCCCAACATCCTCGACCACTCACCGCCATCCACAACTGTCATTAACTGAGGTAATATCGCAGTTTTCTGCTTCAATGAGACAATATTGTGATAAAAAGAGTGAATACAAAAGAGTAAGTGGAGGTAAGGTGGCGGCGTGGTTGAGGATGTTGAGGGGCGGCCGTGTGAGCCGTCAGCGGGTGAGAGGTGTGTTCAGTATACGAGGTGTTACACCACACACTACGTACACCACACTGGTTCCTTTATGTACTAGTAGGTAAGCATACCCATTCCTTGTCGGGTAAACTATTTTATCTAATTGAATGAATA